GAAGGAGGTGCAGAAAACCTGCCTGCACCAAACCCCTCAGTTCTTTCCCATATTCCCACATATATTCCCATATAACCACGAGGATCCAAACGGGAGCCGACGGAGCCCTTTAAGGCACTGGGAAAAAAAAAAAAAGAAAAAGGAGAAACATCATACATTTGCCAGCACATAAATGCGTTTAAAAAGGTATATAATTTATAACAGCAGCGCTGACAGAGCTTTAACTACACTACAAGAGCTAAACTATAATATATTTACATGTGAGTGGTGCTGACTGCGTGGGCGCGTCTCTGTTGATGCGTTTTCCATGTGATTCCTCCATAATTTCCGCCAGTGATTGTAGGAGAAGGGACATTAAACCCCGAGTATTTGATAATACTTTTACAGCTCTGCTTTGGGGAAATGCATTGCTGCTAAATTAGTCCCTGAAAAAAAAAAAAAACCACAACCTAAGAGATATTAACACTGTCAGGCACGAAGGCAGATGGGATTTGGATCAGAGACCTTTATTTGGAGCGTCTGATGCCGAGGAGTCGTTACTTGGAGAGCAGGAACTTTTTGTTTTCCTGGAATATTAACTGGAGTTGGGGATTTTCCTCCCGCTCTGGCACCGGCGAGCTCATCATAAAAGTGTAAATGGGACCCGCCTGGTATTGATTTTTCTGAGGCTCTAAAAAGATGCTTAATGAAACTCTGGGTACCTGGATAAAGACCTTCACTGAATGCAAACTAAGCTTAATTGCAGTTCCCTTAACAAGCTGCTGAAGATGAATTTTTTATTTTTTTTTTTCCTCTCTGACAAAGCCCTTTCACCTGTTTAAATTGTTTCTCTTCCTGTGTGTGCCTGGATGCATTAATTCAGCTCTTTTTTTAAATCTTTTCACTCCCCTCTGTGAGACCCAACTGCAGCTCAAAGGCAGGAAAAGTTCCTTACCGGTCTGTGCACGGAAAAAATATTTTAGTCTCGGGCAAAAATTGATTTTTGAGGTGTCAATGAAAGGTTCTAGTCTTGAAAAAAGAGTGACTGTCCCTCTCCTGCTTCTGCAGAGGGGAGAGATGGGCGTGGAGGAACATTCTGGCTTTGCACAACTGAATTCCAGCAAAGCCAGAACCCAGACTGGGGTTTTTCTGGTGTTTGTCCCCAGAGCTGTCACCTGTCAGGTCCTGCAGCTCAGCCAGGGCAGTGGCAGGGCTTTGAATTTTACTCCCCAGTGCTGCAGGCCCCTGATTCAAACAGGAAGGGAAGGGGCAGGTTATTCCCTGGATTGCAGAGAGCAGGGTTGGTGCTCTGAGGTTGTGGAGGAGAAGCAACAGAGCCTGTTCCCTGAGCATGGAATGGTTTGGGGTGGAAGGGGCCTTAAAGCTCATCCAGTTCCACCCCCTTCCACTCTCCCAGGTTGCTCCAGCCTGGCCTT